TCCGATTCGTGCTATTCTCCCCCCCCCTTCCCTCCCCGATCCTTTCTCCAAGGGGTGAGGGGAAAATAAAAAAAAATTAAAAAAAAGAAAAAAAGAAAGAAAAGGAAAAAAAAAAAGATGTGTTAGAAAGCAATCTATTTTGCTGGTGTTGGGGGTTAATGACTATTGCCAAAGATAAGTGAATTATCAAAGCTGTTGCTCTACCCGATCTCAAAATCCATTACATTGCTGGCCGTCTAATTAAATACGTAAGTATAATAAAATCATATTTTATGACTATTTGAGGGTAATGAGATTAGTCTTTAGAAGCGATCGCCACATATTAAAGATGCCACTGTCTATAGAATGTTAATAACCTTAAATCAAAGTGTATGGAAACTATTCATGATAAATTAAAAGCAAACTCCCGTACCGGTGCCCAGCCCGCGGCCGCGGAGGTGACAGCGGGGCAGGCGACAAAAACCTCACACTTTTACCGCGGAGGGACGAGGCGACCAAAGTTCCCAAACACCGCGGGGCTGGGGCTGGGGGGGCATTTGGTGGCGCCGGCACATTTGGGGAGCTGGGGCGGGCGCCGGGGGGTGCCGGTCCCGTGTGTGTCCCCCCTCTCCACAGCACGCAAAATCCTCAAAACAAGGGGAAAATGCCCAACGAGGCTGCGGTCGTAACATATTCCCCAACCCGCGGAGAACAACGCCCGAGCCGGGTCTGCCCTCCGCGAACGAAAGCGCAACGCTTAAAATCATTTACAGTATCTTTAATTCAGATTACACGCGCCAGGGCGATTTAAATCTGATTACCAAATTAGAAGGTTTTAAAACAAATCCTTTTAAATCTGATACTGTTGACTAAGGAGGGGGGAGAAAAAAAAAAAAAAAACCTAAGCCCATCACATAAGGTAACGATCCTGCCCCAGAAAGAAAGGGAGTTTTAAACCTTTTTGACAACAAATGCAGCTGCCCCACTATTTTGGACGATATTAAGCGAAAATGAATGCAAATCTGTGTTCAGAAGCCATCTGGCCAGAAATGGGGGAATCAGCTGCTCCTCACAACAGGCTCTGAGCCTGAATCTATTTCAGCTCATTTTCGAGATCATCTGGTCCCGCACCCAAAGCGTGGAAAATGCGGGCTTTAGCATTCACCAAGTTTGGCTTTTTTTTTCCCCCTCTTTTTTTTTTTTTTTTTTTGCGTGTGTGAGTGTGTGCGTGAGTGTGAGTGTGTGTGAGTGAGTGTGAGTGTGTCTGTGTCACTCCGCGGCCGGCGGGAGCCCTCCCGGGATGCTCCCCGCTCCGCACCGCTCCCAGACCAGCATCCCGGGGGGCCAACGGGGGGTACAGCCGTTTTCCCCCCCCCCGGCAACTTCTCCCCGGTTCGGGACCGGCCCGGAGGGGACGGGCAGAACCGGGGACGGGGCGGGGGGGGGCTGCCCGGACCCCCGACACCTTGCACCGGAGCAGCGGCGGGGCCCGGCCGGGCGGGCAGGGGGTGTGAGTGGCTGCGGGGGGCGGCCCGACC